ATCCTTATATGAAATTATTTCACGCAACGAAACACACCATACGTCGTACCACTTTGACGGTTCTCCTTTGCCCTATTCTTTCATTAATTCGTGGCGTCGCCGCACGGGCGACATTCAAAAATAGAACTCATTGGCCTGGATTTCATAAAGGTAGATTTTAATGATAGATTTTGCGGGTCGTATTGTGGTCACTGAATACGCAAAAAATTTTGAGCCGTAACTTAGCAATTAGCAGCGGGCGTTATTTTTCGCCGAAGTTTGAGTACTATTTACACATTTTCTTGAAGGTAGAGTGGAAATTAGGCAGTTTACATTAATATTTTACTATAAGCTTTAAGAAACTGGCGCTGAATGGCATAGGCTTAACTTAATTATCGGTTACAAATGACGACCTTGCCTTTGCCTTATCATCGTGCAGCAAACCTCCAGTCTCGTCATATTCCTTCTGCGCGTATATAGTCCAATCATAGCTACTCCCTGGCTCTCCCGCAGATTAGGTCCTAACCCCTGCTATCATTAGTCCATTTTACATACGTTCATAAGAAAATATTTCTATTTATAAAATTGCAGGCTATTCTATCTTGAAGTTTCCTACCTCTACATTTATTGTTGTGTTCACTTATTCGTCCGCTCTAAATCGTCCGAATCTCTATTTGTGCCTGGATAAATGACAGTAAACCAACTATTCTATCACCACGTAGGGCTGAATTTTCATGAACTCGCCGGCTTGCCTTTTCATTATCTTCCTGATATTTTTTCTTCCCTTCCTACTGATATATATGTTGTGACAAAAATTTGTGATTAATCTTCTGTTACCAAGCATATATAAGGAAAATCTCACAAATTATTGACGAAATTTATTTTGATTTGCAAAATTAACAGCTAAATTTTTTACTCCTTAATGGGAAATATATGTCAACTGATAAACAACGAGACAGTTTTACATCAGTAAATCGACTTGACATTACATTTTTTCATGGGTAGCTATTATATTTTGAACTTGACATAAAAACCGACCACTTACTCACCGTGCAAATAGTTTTCAAATTGCCCAAGATTATGTACAAATAATTACATATACAATTACCAACTGATTGTTCAACTTATTTCAAAAAACAGTTTACATGTAAATGTTATACGTTAATCTTACAGTCAAGGTAATGAAATAGATTATAGAACATACGTTGTTTACAATTTGTGGCATAGGCTATGGGCCTATTTCTTCAACGCCGACAATTCTATTCTATTCTAAAAAGTCTGTACCCGGAAATTTTTGAAGGAATTTTTGTCTACGCGAAGTGCGAGAATATAATAAATATATAATTCGTAATAGGTGGTTGCTTAAATTTCTACCAGACTTTCTGAGGTTAGGGAGAATAAATCTAGATTTTGGGGCAAGATTTTGTTCCATCGATTTCTTGGAGCGCAGCCGTTGACAATTTTCATCAAATTGCGAGGATTTGAGAAGTGAAGAGACGAGACACAATTCATTAATAACGATCTAATACCGACAATTTGATAAAATTTTGTCCCGAAGTCGTACATGCTCTCCAGTCAGACAGGGTTTCAATACCCCATTTGCCTTTATATGTTACTTAAAGCGTTTATATTAAGGTGACGCAACGAATTGAATCGACTATTACCCTTCATAGATATTATATGATAACGAACATGCCTTATCGCAGCTGGTTAACTCCTTTTCACGCTTAATTCCTTCTGCATTTATTTGATTCACAGAAATTCTTTTGCTCTCTCACAGATTATTTCATAACCCTAGCCACCATTATTCACATTTATAACCCCAGTCACCATTATTCGCATTCATAATTAATTTGTATCACTTTCAAATAATTGTATCACAATTATTTTGTCAAAGGACTTTATTCAGTCCAGCAGCTATTTCAATCAATCGGTAGTTATGGAAAGATCGGGTTCCAAAGGCCGGATCCCTTGTGAATCAAGTCACGAAAAATTCAAGAATCGGCAACAGGCCATAGGCCTATTTCTTCAGTGTCGACACTTCTTCTATTCTATTCTATTCTTTTGNTAGTAGCTACTTCAAACTATCGCCAGTCATGAAAAGATCCGGGCAAATAACACGATATTAGATCTTCTATGAACAAGGCACGAAAAGGAAAAGAATCGGCGACAGGCCACATCAGGCCTACACTTCAGCGCCGACATCACTATGTTATGTTATGTTAAGATCGGGTTCCAAAGGCCGGATCCCCTGTGAATCAAGTCACGAAAAATTCATGAATCGGCAACAAGCCATGGGCCTATTTCTTCAGTGCCGACACTTCTTCTATTCTATTCTTTTGTGATAATCGTAATGACTTGCCGTTGTCCGAGAATCAGTACTGTCAACCTACGATACTATATATCGTTAAAGTAAAGACTGCTACGTCGCCATCTTGCGTAGGGAAAGCTAAACATCTTAGAGGGAGATGTTCTATAAGAAGTCGATTATAACTTGTAGTCATGTCGTCAAAAAGTTAAACTCTTTATTAATATGATTTTGTTAGGTGATAATACTTCTCATTGTATTTGATAATGCTTAGTCAATGTTCATTTGTTTAGTCTATTGACGAACTGGTATCGACTCACGCGCTCGCAAGTTAATTATCCTCGAGAGTTATTCTATCTTATATCGACTTTCTCTTATCATTATTTGACCAAAGGATTATATTATGATTCTATTTTATTGTGATATACCATAATATCTATTGTTTTTGCATATAGATGCTTTTATCAGCCATTTCTTCTACATTGTAGACGGGGTGTTGAGGCAAGCTCATTTTAGCTAAGTTACCCATCGCGGAAAAGTTGTGTGTGCTCAGTGGTACTGGGTTGGGGTGCACATGTTTCATTACCGAATTTGGCGAGCCAGATCTGGGCTTCCAAGAATAAATTCCACCGTAGTTCTAAAGATTACTCGGAAAGCGTTGGACTAACTGAAAAATAACGGCGTAGGTGGAGTTCTTGGATAGTTCCAGATGCTGGTAGCGCGCTGGGACGGCTAGTTCCCGTGCCGAGCACTTCTCGTGCTGTGGGGGCTTATAACCTCTGCACTCGAATATTTATGACAGCGTCATATAAGCTCGTCATATATATTGGTGTTGTTCGGCAGACGCTTCTCTTTTATGCAAGTTTGATTGAAGACCAGAGCATGCTTTTTATTAACAATCTTCTTGTTCGTCTTTTCAATGAGTCGAACCAAATTTCTAGCTATTTGTTCAGATACGCATTTAAGCTGTGCCAAAGTGGGTCGCAGGTAACGGTGCTCACTTTTGATCTGCTATTTAAAAGTAATGAATGTATTTTAATTTAAACCATTCATCATATTGGCCAACAATTGAACAACAACCATCAACAAAATCTAAAAACAACTTAGAACCTAATTAAAAGAATCAAGCGTAAAACTGGCATAGTTTCTCAACTGCAGACCAGTCAGCCCTCAGCTGATTGGTCTGAAACATATAAACTGGTCTGAAATTACAAGCACGACCTTGAGCCGACGACTCACATGCCATCCACAATCTGGAGGACCTAAGAACCACATGCGGTAGGCTCACAATGAGACCATCACCCGAGCAACATGGGAGGCCTGCACCAGCATAGTTATGCGGTGCCCCAACCCATCGAGACTGAGGATAGCTGAGGCCCTCATTATCAAGAGCGTCTCTAGCCATCAACCTCCAAACTACAGGATTCGTCCGGACGCTGAAATTATTTTCAGAGTAACTTTAAGCTAATATTTTAATTTATATTATACAAATTATACTAAAACTACTAAATTACTACTAAAATTATAGACTACTAAAATTATACTACTGAAATTTATAGACTACACCGGCCTCTCGGATAACTCCCGCGTTTTTGCAGGGGCCTTGACAACAATGTCAAATTCCAAACTAAACGCAACAAAGGCTATGCTATGCTATGCTATGCTATGCTATGCTATGCTATGCTATGCTATGCTATGCTATGCTATGCTATGCTATGCTATNCAGGCAATAAGTCCAGCAGCTATCTCAGTCAATCGTCAGTTATGGAAAGATCGGGTTCCAAAGGCCGGATCCCTTGTGAATCAAGTCACGAAAAATTCAAGAATCGGCAACAGGCCATGGGCCTATTTCTTCAGTGCCGACACTTCTATTATATTCTATGAACAAGAATCGGCAACAGGCCATGGGCCTATTTCTTCAGTGCCGACACTTCTATTCTATTCTATCATTCAACAATATCTAAACGTAAACAAGCGGAAAGCGCCGACATCGCTATGGTATGTTATGTTATGTAAAGACTTGGCAAATTATGTGGGAAGCATTAGGGTGTAATTCAGATTTATTTATGCATATTATTAGCGTTTGCGTATGACAACGCAATTATCAGAGTAACAGCACTCTAAATTAACTTTACTAAATTACTTTCTTGAATAAAACGAAAAACAAATTCCAAGTTCAATTAAAATACTTCAGAGTCGATCAAGTTCAGTGCACGACACTGAATGAGCCGCTGAAGCGGCTGCGTCAACAAACGAAATAGATGATCATGAATATGTGGTCGTCTGAATGCAGGTGCTTCGAAATGAAATGCAACTCATCGTCGTACTCTTTGGTTCAAATGAGATCATTGTCACACCGCAAGTGAGAAAGGCTGTTATAAATGTTGTGAAATGTGTTCCAGTGCAATGATGTCTACATACATTTCCATTATCGCTATTCGAGAGAGAAGACTTCGGAACTTCATATATAGAGAGCATTAATAGCACATATGTTAGGCTAAGCCGCAAGTGTCATATGCAGGCAAACGTTGGTGGTTGTGGCAATGAAACTGAAAGACTCAATACGCTTCGTCAATCAAGCTCTATTTAATCCCAAAAACGACCTCGTCAATGTAATACTAGGAATTGAAATGTCAATGCATTCGATGCGGCGTGAAAGGAAAAATCGTTGATCGTTTTCGAGTGCCATGACTATAAAAGAGCAACACAACGACTTGGATTTCGAGTTCAGCCTAGCCAGGTAGAGCGACTACTAGCCTTGCCTTGTCTCTGCTCAAAATCGACATGCGTGGTATTTTCGCCGTGGTGCTTCTGAGCACTTGTGCTCTGGTAAGTCTTGAGCTCGACACGTTTTTATCGAATAAAGATTTATAATTGTAAACATTATGGAACATTATAAATTATAATTGTAAACATTATTAATTTAAACATTATGGAATATTAAATACAAATCAAGAAATCATCTTAATGCGGACTAATAGTTTCGTCATTCTTAAATGTCTGTTCTCAGGGCTTCCCGCAATCGAGTCGGCTTGCGCCCATCGAACCAAAAGGTAAGAAATTATTTTGAAGTCAGGTTGAAGATATTTGCATTAATAAGCTTGGGCATGCACACGTTATCTCTTCTTTTTTCTTGTTGTGAACAGAGCCACACTGAATACGGTGTGTCTTGTGTTACAGCCACTGCTCTTGTGTTACAGCCACTGCTCTTGTGTTACAGCCACTGCTCTTGTGTTACAGCCACTGCTCCAGCCTGCACTACCATTGCGACGGCTTCGGATGCATACACGCAGGTGTCTGTCCCAGCAGGAGGCTGCGTGTCCATCAGCGATATCGGCACTCGCCGCCGCTTGGTCGTCACTCCCAAGGCCCTCGTTCCATGTGGTTGGGTCTTCACTGTTAGTAAATCGTATTTTTCCGCAGTAAATAGTATAAGTGAATGAAAAATGCTCACTTACGCGGTGGTTATGCCAAGGGTTATTACCATGAACGGGTTCGGTTTCAACAAAATTAATTTGTTCTATTAGTCGAATAACCACGAATAAACGGAATTTTAAATTTTAGCAGTAAATACTTCTAAACTATTGTTTACATTCTGTCCAAATAGGAATTCAATTGGTACTAACTTAAATTAAGATGACGATGGAAACGCAGTTCTCTGCTAAGAGTTTCATGTGGTATTCACAGTCCACTGATGGCTCGAAGCTTTCCATGACGTGCTCAACCTTCAACTTGGCTACTGGAGAAGACTTCCTTGTCACTGAAAAACTCGAGTCTGCGAATAGATACACGTAAGACCAACGGTTTGATCGTACAGCATAGGAAGATATGTATATGTACGTATATACATATAATTTACTGAAATACTGATAAAAAGATGATTTTAGCCGATAGCTTCGAAATTAGAAAAGAGACGTAAGTGATTAAAGAAATATGTAGTATGATTTGGTTGGACATATGTGTCAAAATTTATTTGTATTTTTCATCATGATAATTTTTGTCCGTTGACATAAATAAAAAAAAATGAAAGGAAAGCGTTGAAAACGTTGGCAGTATAAAATTGACGTGACCAATTTGATTGAGCTTAAAATATGACTATGCCCCACCGATATTGATACTCACGACCTAAATTAACGATTGAATTTGAATCTTAGCCTTCTTAAGAATGACCCAACAAAATTTCCATGCATCTCTTGTCTCCCACGTCAAATAGGTACGCGGGCAGGACTGGTCCCTCGAACACGAACTACGCATCGTCTCGGTTGGCTGTAGCCTTCAGGTACAACCAACCTAGCAGCTCTGGCGTCTTCAACTGCAACGTCTGTTCGCGTTCTTCTGCTACCACAGCCGCCGTCACCACGACCACCACCAAACCTACCACTACCACCAAGCCCGCGACCAGCTCTACCGGAACAAACTCAACATGCCGTATGTTGAAATGCTGAATTTATACTTGAATATCAATAGAGGCATATCAGGGGCGTCGTAAAATAAATTCTTCCATGTAGGAAGAATTGCTCGACGTGCATTTATCTTCGCATCGAGCTGTGTTTTGGCATTTACTATAGTTGATAGCTTCAAGTATTCTCATGCTGATAGTGATACTACTGATACTTGCTTAATTTCATTCAATTCAAGCTCATTGGTTCAAATTGTATGCATTTAACAGATACCCCGTTCAGAGAAGCCTCAAAAGTCCCTGAAAAACACCCTAAAATGTACTAATTCAATTGTATGCAGTTAAAAATACCCCGTTCAGAGAAGCCTCAAGAGTCCCTGAAAAACACCCTAACATGTACTAATTCCAGGGTGCGGAATCGCTAACCGTGGAGTATCCCGAATCGTCGGTGGCGTTGCAACTGAAGTGAACGAATACCCGTGGCAGGTCGGGCTCATCGCCCCAGCGCAACCTGGTACACAGCGTCAGGTCTTCTGCGGTGGTACTCTCATCTGCGACAGATACATCATCACTGCTGCTCACTGCGTTAAAGGGTGAATAATAAGTATTACTCATGGAACTGTAATATTTTAAAAGTATCTCAGCAGGCAATGCCAGGTTGATTCAATGTTGAAACAACGTACTTCGCGAAGTTGAAATAACGTTGAATATTATTCCAGAATTATACAATGACATTCATGATAGAACATTTAAACCTGATGAAACCATTTATTAATTTCATTTCAACGTCAGAATTCAACGCGATTTCAACGTCGAAACAACGTTGAAATGTACGACGTTGAAAAAATTACGTTTATTTACTTTTATTATGGACTAATATCCAACGTTATTTCAACTTCGCGAAGTACGTTGTTTCAACATTGAATCAACCTGGCATTGCCTGCTGAGATTTTTCAGTTTATTGAGACTCTCCGGTATGGATTATGAGCAATCCAAGCGATTGAAGGGAATGAACGCAACTACTTGCAAATATCCAATGCTTAACTTCTCTCCAGCATTGGAGTGTCGGGCAAATAATCATATTTTAGACAAAATCTTTTCACGAATCTAAAGTTTTCGAGCTACATGACGATTAGCAATTATAGTAATGTGTCTATGTGTGAGAATGTTTTTTGTAATGTTCGGTAGATAATTTGCAAGAATCAGGATGCTATACGTGTATGTAAACCAAAGTAGAACAAGTCACGAAGGCTTGCGAGCTCATATGACGTTACCACTTCAATATTTTCAGATAAATAATAGTTATTACGTTTCGTTACTCTATCGGCTAATAACGAGCGTTTTTGAAGACTTAAACGCTCCAATCCCAGAACAAAAATTAGAACACACGATCAAAAAGCATTTATGATAAGCGCAGGAGCTTTTGACGCTCCGGGCCCTGGACCTCCGAATCTCCATATATACATAACATAACATAGTGATGTCGGCGCTGAAGTGTAGGCCTGATGTGGCCTGTCGCCGATTCTTTTCCTTTCGTGCCTTGCTCATAGAAGATCTAAAATCATGTCATTTGACCGGATCTTTTCATGACTGACGATAGTTTCAAGTAGCTACTAGACTTCCACCGGAGTGGAATGCTCGCTTTAAAATGTACCACCGGAGTAGAGAATGCTCGCTTTAAAATGTAAGTAATCAATAAAATTATAGCGATACACTGACGCACGATCGCATTCCCGTTGCAGTGAGACTACATCGAGCTTCGACGTCATGCTGGGCGCCCACTCTACCCTCAATGACGCAGCCAGTGCAATCATCAGAGATCCGGTCAAGATCACCATGCACCCTAGCTACGGCACTCGTGAGTCTCTGGGCTTAATTTCGAACACAATTTTTACGGCAGTCAGATATGAATACTTGAAAAGCTCTAGACCCCTCGTGGTATGCAATACGAATGGGTATATATTATATTTGAATTCAACCCTTCTGTGAAATGTAACCTGACAGTTTTACGTTAAATTGCATCGGAATTTCAAAAAATATAACTCGCTAATGCAGCATATCTTCATACGGAATAAATAACGAGTGAAGCAATTCTCTAAATATTTTTACATTCAACTCTGGATTGGATTAATAGCTTTGTCTTTGTTGTTCATTTGATTGATGAAATAAATTGCCTGATTTATGTATAAATTTGTCCTGATCTCTAAATTAGGGAAGCAAAATTTTCAAGTGATGTCCATCGTCCATCGTCGTGTTCACTTGCAGCTTCCATGGACAACGACCTGGCCATCATCGAGATCAAGCCTCTGAACTTCTCAGACCCAGCGGTGCAAGTGCGCCCAGTGTGTCTTCCCGACAGCAACACAACCTACGTCGGCACCAACGCTACCGTCTCTGGCTGGGGCACTCTCACGTCAGGTGCGTTATACAATAAATAATATACTCTCACGTCAGGTGCGTTATACAATAAATAAAATATAGACGCACATCAGCTGGCCCAAAGGAGAGCAGACGGACGGAACACGTTCAACGTTACCTCCGGGACCCGAGGGTGGGGCGACCTGCCTATCGACGACTGGGAGACGGAGGGCGGCGAAGGCGGCGCATCAGCGTGAGCGTGGATTAGGAAGTCCTACACTCGTCGTTAGGTCATAAGGTCACATCAGGTGCGTCATACGAACACTATACTACTCTGTGGCTCCAAACCTCTGGAGTCAGAGACTGCAATGCTTGACGCAGAAATACTGGTGACTAATTGAATTTTGTGACTCTGACTCGTATGTGAATAATATAATGATAACCAAAATATTAAATAAACACATTCAGTGCGTAAAGAACAAATATTTGCGTCATTAGAAAGTAATCAAATGACGTTTTCAGATCACAAGGAAAGTTTTTTGAGAAATATTGCAAATAAAAATTATTTCTGCGTCTTGATGTAATTCTATCCGCAGACTGATGCCTATCTCTAGCAGTGTTTCTGAATGCAAGCTGTAATGGAATCTTTCATAATACTCTGTTTAATATCAACCCGTTCGTTTATAGATCAGTTTTGTGGTGAGACATTGCATCAAATTAATACTTCTCACTCTTACCTCTAGCTTCCCAAGTGATGTCAAGCAACTTCTCCAATAACTGATCAGGATATTGTGTTGAAAAAAGTAGTAATAATTTATTCAGACATCCATTTTTAGCCGGAGTAGACATATGATTGTTTATATAGAATCTTGGTCTCGCAAAAAAGCTCAAATTTGAGACCAAATAGGCCATCACATACACGAAAAATATAGCCTCTTAATTACGTCAATAGTAAAGATGATTTGATTTAAAGGTGGCAATCAACCTGCGGTGCTGCACGAAGTGACAATCCCAGTGGTGAGCAACGCTGACTGCCGTGCTGTGTACGGTGCTACCATCACCAGCAACATGCTGTGCGCCGGCACTGCTGCGGGCAACAAGGACTCATGTCAGGTATGGCACTCACTCCAGACTGTGCCAGGCATCCTTAAGACAGGGAGAATTATGTGTTTTTCATTATTATATTGCAATTTTTTTCTTTTTGTCCTCCATTGCTACATTGATTTTTTTTCATTTTGTCCTCTATCATCCTATTGAATTTAGTCAGTTTTGTCCTCCGATATTATATTGAAATTCCTCGGTTTTGTCCTCAGGGAGATTCCGGTGGCCCCCTGATTGCCCCCGACGGCGCGAACTACGAGCTCATCGGCGTCGTGTCCTTCGGCGCAGGCTGCGGCGACCCTGGCGTGCCAGGCGTCTACGCCCGAGTCACAGGTGACCTTACTAACAAAATTTCCGGCATGCGTGACCTTCTGCGCAGGACTCGCTACATCTCACTTGAAACAAGCGTACTCATAAGATCACAGTCACAAGCAAAAAATTAAAAGTAACTTATGGAAAACTTTTTCCGTTTATCAATCAATTTAAAATATTTAAAACACGAACTTAAAGATGCTGTCACATTGTGCACGGTATGTTCACCTTAGATAAAAATGTACCTTATTCAGCACAATAAATGAGTTAATTAAATTTCAAACGTATGGTTTAGTGATGGTATGGCTAATAGTTTATTTGAATAATGACAATTACACGTGGCAATAGTGACATTATAATTGGTGGCAGTTGTCATCAAACGAAATTCACGATTCGTAAAAATTGTAGCGGGTTGAGGAACAAGCATACATAAAATAGTCACTCTGTGCATTGAAAATTAGTTGTACTGGAGAATATGATAAATAATAGAACTGGTGAGATTTAATGAATAATAATAATAATTTGCACCTGTCATGAGCAGCCTACCAAGACTGGATCGCTAAGAACACTCCTGGCTGCAACACCTGCCCTCGCTAAGCCTGGCATGGTCTTGCTGAGTCATCGTCTGTTCCGGACCATTGCAATTATTTCTTCAACTGGCAACTTGATTGAGCTCCCAACTTCCCACCTGTTCTGACTTTTATTTCGTTTCGTTTTAATTTCTCATGAGAATTTTATTTCATTAACCTTTTCTGTGAATTGGTAAAATTTCTTTACGAATAAATTCTGCAATAAGCGAACAAATGACTTTTAATCACGCCCATCTTATAAGAATAATATGCAAGGGGATGGTTTCAAACTTTTACCAGATTTATTGCATGATTGAGGCATAAAAATGTGCACTGTCATTCAAAATTATTCCCATAGGCTAGCAAACGTTTTACGTGAAGAATTACGTGAACTGGGAACGTTAAACGTTAGTTGCTGGTTCCAACACTATTTTAGAAATTGTAAGAAATTATGACTAAGCGTCTGAAAAAGTGGCTCGCAAATGTCCTTCATCCTCACGACAATAAATGTGAATGGTGTAGAATCGTGCACATGTTATTATAAATAAGAACAAACGAGAAAATAGTATTTAAAACACACATTATTGATCACAGTCTGTATGTTTTCAAACGATTTAATACTAATGACATGGCACGATCCGTCAAGAGATAATTAATGCATGTCTCGTTAATACAAAACAATATTCATTTTTCATCATATGATTTAATTCGCATGACACCTAATGTTCTGTCGATAAATTAATTATTCATACTCCTCCTGTCAAGAGATTTATTGCGAACAGCAATCAAATTATCGCTCAGTGTTCTGCGTTCATTTAAAATAATAACGAAATAAAAATTTCACGTATCAACCATTTCCCTCCCAATTAAGAATACCAAACATATCATATATATGAGTAAATTTGCTTTTTCTTTAATGAACTACAAACTTTTCTGGCAGCGAGAAGTTCAATCCTCATGCAACGAGATTATGGTTTTTCTTCGGCATTTTCGAAAGCTTTCATGATTGCAGAAGCTAAGCCCATTTTTCTCCCTTGGCAACGCCTCAGCCCTGAGTTAACTAATGGATCCATCATACCTCGGCAGTCGGGCTTGCTTGTGTTGAAGGAAAGCTCTGTAAGAAAAAAAATCTCTTAGTAGGAACTAAGCTCAAGGCAAACCTGCCAAGAAAACCGCTTCAAAAAAAGTGTTCTAACTGAAAATTGGAAATGGAATTTGGCTCATTTGAAAAATTATAGGCTACATTTCGTATGTACAAAGCCAGACTTAATGTTATCTTGTTATCACCTTGTTAGGTTTATTTTTCGAAGTTTCAAAATACTCTAATCAACTGACGTTTTCAGATCACAAGGAAAGTTTTTGGAGAACTAGAAACTCTTTTTGTCTGTTTAAAATTTAAATCGTGAATTTATCTAACAGCTATTTTAGCTCAAGTTAACCGCGCATTGAATCGGGACTCTTCAAGCTACAAGATTGGGATATATTCGATTGAAGAGATGGTAATATAAAAATATTTATTCTTCGAATCGCATCGAATTATGAAGTTTCATAAACTTTCTTTTAAACTCTACCATGATGCGCTCCTGTAGTCAAATACTGGTAGCAAACCCCATGGAGTTATCCTGTGACAATTGTCCATAACTAAAAATTTCGATAGAACACTGCCGATTTTGCGTCAATATTTCATTCGTAGGAATAAGAAAAATAATGATTATTGCATTAAATCAGCTAGTTTCTTGAATTCCTCCGTGAATTATTGGACTTCTTTGTCTCCAAGCGACGATCGCTTCTAAATTACGTCTGGTTAGTTTGTCATTAAATTGCAACAGCTTTTTCCGGATCAAGAAATTTAAGTGAGCGAGCGGGATGACAGAGCAACGTCGAGCGAATGACGCAACTTTCTTCAGTCTTCACTGAATTTTGGAAGGAAATTTGGCTTGGTTGCTATAGGAGGTCAGCGAAGGCTTTATTTACGACAAATCTGGCAGAGTTTGCTGTTGCTACCCGAGCAGACAGTCCCGTGCTTGTGCTTGTTCCCACATGTGCTTGCGACGAGAACATTCTAGCCTGCGATGTGTAGCGGGAAGCCAGCCAAACATCTATTGAGTGAGGCGAGCTGCTGGGCGGCTGCTGCTGCTGCTGATACTCCTACCCACAGTCCATGCTGCTGCTGCTGCGGCTGCTGCTGATACTCCTACCCACAGTCCAACTGCTGCTGCTGCTGCTGCTGATACTCCTACCCACAGTCCATGCTGCTGCTGCTGCTGCTGATACTCCTACCCACAGTCCATGCTGCTGCTGCTGGTATTACTGCTGGTGCTGTTAGTGGCGCCGTCTGTACCTACTGTTGCCATAGGTCCAACCCCTACAACTGTTCGCATACTGTTTGCATGTATGCAACGGTCTGTTCAAGTCCAGGCTATGAAAGAATATTGCAACATGGAATGAGTACATGTACCTAGTGTATTGATTTCTTGAAATGGCATGTTTTTACGGCTAAACATTTCCTTCACCTTTTAATAATTCAATGTTCATGACTAGGCTTCTCACGAAAAATACAAATAAATTTGAATTAGAAGTGTTTTTTATTAAACTTTCCTGTACAACTGATTTTTTTGGAAATTTAGGCGATTTTTTTAGCACAATGAACTTATTCATGCTGAACAATTGCACGGAGCTTTTATTGCACACCTACAAATAAGTCCATAATGATCATTACAGGAATATTTTGAGACGAGTAATAGCTTGAAATTTAAATGATCATCTAAGCTGATTGCAGAGCAAATTTATGCATTTTAATTTGATCGTTACGTGCCGGGTCGATTTGTATGATACTTTTTTATTATCGTGAAAGTTTGAAACACGTCGTAATATGGGTATCCCGTATCAATAAGAATTAGAATTCTCTCAGTGAATCAATACTTCAATTTTTAGGTCAATATATATTTTTTATGAGTTTTATGCTCACCCAATAAAAACTGCCTGTGTGGCAGTGACCGGGAGTTTCAAAAAAGTCTGACATGTCTGGAGCGGCAGCTAGTCAATTCAGTCACTCGCGCCGGGCAACAGTGTCCGCTTGACTGTCGTCGTGTGGGTGTGTGTGACGCTGACGGTGTGGCACCTGCTAGTCTGCTACCCCACGTGAGAGTCTACCGCTATCGGTAGGGACTTCACGATTAAATTCTAATATTTATGATGTATTAAAATAAAATTTTAGCAATCATACGTTCATGTCTATGTTGTATTGAGTGTAAAACTGGATCGAATTAGCAAAATCCCTTCAAAATTTTGCCCAACGAAACTTGAGAAAATGTCCTGCTGACTTTCATTCAAGTAGTTCCGTAGGATTGTTGATCTTGCCTATCCCTAATTTTGTCATCGTGGTGACTAATTCACTTGCGAAAGCGTTGATAGTCTCTAAATTGTTATTTTTATGTTGTAGTATGTCTGTCTTTTTGAAGTGGTTTTTGTTGTCGTTTAGGATACAAGTGACACTGTAGGGACATCGATATTCGTTATTTATTTTATTGTTCATTTTTTCCTCAAATAGTCAGCAGTCTAACAACCATCCGAACTTCTTAGAGATTGACTTTTTCTTACTTCGTAAATTCAGTTACTAGTCATTTCACTGCAGCTTTGTCCGCCAACGTTTGGGGTAAGATATGTTATGCAATTAGCCTTATCAGAGTTTGTTTATTCAACAGGTGCAAACTTTACAATACTCAAATACATTGATCACAACATGCGCCTGGTTAATTACTCGTAGGTTTCCCTATTATTCGCACTCCCTTAGCTTATAGCGGTACCAATAGATCCCGCTATAACACAACATAAGCCTCGAATAAAGTTGAATCTCTGCATGCGTTGGATTTTCACAACTTTAAAACGATATCATTATCGGTGATAGAATGGTGCTATTTTGCTAATATTGAGTAAGCGGTCTACGGCACTTCTTATTTGTGATGTTATTGATGTTAGAATTTTCAACGAGAGTTCATTTTCAGAAGTTCAATCTCCAGTTCGTACTTTGAGGCTACCAACGAAAGGAAATACTTCTCGTTATTCTATTTTGATGTTTTTTTTGTCGTACTTCTTTGTTGCGTCTGCTTGCTTTGCCGCCAAATTTTTAATGCAAAAGGCAAAAATCATTGATTGATCTTCTGTGATGGATATGTCCTCAAAAAATATGAAACGGAGAGAATTAAGAAAGAAGAAACTATCATCCCCAGGCTGTTGCCCAAAGCAGCATCCGTGTCGGTGTAACGTTGTATTCTCGGGTTGGTCAATTATGCACGCAATCGAAGATTAGCTGACGGGTGGAGCTTTTGGACCGAGTAGACGACTGGGTATAGGAGAGACTGTCTTATGCTATTGCCTATTGAGGAATAGAAGTCCATGTAATAGCTAGCTGTTGTAGGCTGCCTGAGAGACGCAAGAAGACTATAGTACATAGCAGACTGAAGCTGCTACAGAATAGTGGTAGTCCATGTAATAGTAGGCTGCCTGAGAGACGCAGACGACTATAGTACATAGCAGACTGAAGCTGCTACAGAATAGTAGTAGTCCATGTAATAGTAGGCTGCCTGAGAGACGCAGACGACTATAGTACATAGCAGACTGTCTGAAGCTGCTACAGAATAGTGGTAGTCCATGTAATATCTAGACTATTGTAGGCTGCCTGAGAGATGCAAGAAAACTACAGTACCAAACACGATCTGAGGTCACTTGCACGATTCGATTGTCGCCAAAGATTTTTGTGTTTACAAATAATTGCAAAAAATTGTTCTCTCGTATTTATCAATCGGAATTTAATAAACAGTTAATATCCCAGTTTCATCATTCTCTGTTCTAATGCAAATCTGTAAAAGCTTTACGTGTCGAAAAGATTTTAGAGGCAAAACTGGACCATTGTATTCAGTTGATGGGTTTTTGAAAACCACATTGCATATTTTCACTTGAAACTCCGTTAACTTCGCACTATCTTATATGTACATTAATTTGTAATTAGTTAGGTTTCAGTTATGTTTTCATTAGGAAGCATCAAGTTTAATAGGTCTTTAAGTATTTTCACATACGTAACAGAAGCGCGTAACAAAGACTGATCCGAAGCATGCGTAACAGAAGATTGATCGACAGAGAACGTATAGATCCCCACACATTGTTTTATCGCTCACTTCTTAATCGTGGGAGAAGGCATTACTTCTTCACGGCAGCGCACGCAGTATTGTTTTGGTTCCTGACACGTTCGGCTGTGCTGTGCAAAAGCGTGAACCTGTACACAGTGTACACAGTTCAATGAGTGGTGTATGAGGTACGACCTTTGCATGCGTGTGGAAAAATTTATGGATTTCCTGTACCGTAGAAACTTTTCAACACATAATCCCGCATTGTCTAAAGCTGGGAAGAAACGAACGAGGCATCTTGACTTGGGATACGTATAATATAATGCGATGTTCACAGTAATTATTTTCATCTATGCGTATTAGCCTGTAAAACTTATGTTCAGGCACTTGTGATACATCTTAATCGTCACCAAGATAAGCAGTTATGATCTCTCAGAATCTCAGATTGAAAGATTCCCCTATGCCGAAAGAAACTTTTTACGCTTGCCTTATCATTGTGATGATGGTCCGCGCATGAATTGACGACCTCCTCGAGCGAGATGTATCGGTGTAGCCTTGCTTCATACGCTCAGTGTGCCCTGCCCCATTGCTCTTTCAACTCATTGCCTTCATCCCGCTGGTTCTCAAAACCCATTACCTCCATCCCGCAGGTTTTTTAAACCCATCAATTTGATCCTGCTAGCAATTTTAACCTATTAATTTCATGTGATGGTTCTTTCAACCCCTTACCTCCATTCTACTTGCTCTTTCAATCCACTTCAAAGCCGCGCGGTTTTTCAGTATGAATTGTTTGCCTTACGTGTGGATTTGAACGTCGTCGCATGATCTCTTCACTGGGTTTTTGCCTTGCAACTGAAGAGGGTCTCATGGAAACGTCTTCTGTGGCGAGGCTCTTGGAATTTTTTACGTACTCCCTCGTCTAGGATGAGAGCTTTGTTAAAACCTGCCCGCGCCATTTTTCTTCCTGATTGCGACTTGATTGTTAACGAGACAAAAAGTTGTCATCCTCCTCCACTTGTACCTTCATTTGTTTAAAAGGTTTCAATTTGAGATATTATTCAGTTACTACTCGTTTCTCGATTCTTTGCCATTCATCGTTTTTTACGCCTTTCGTGTCATATGGAATCCTTTGTCCACTAACTACAACTCTCGCTATTAGGCCTTAAAATATTAATTTAATGAAAATGATCAATATATTTATATACATATTACATTATATTAATTATATTATATTTATATTATTATATATTTATATTATATTTATTTTGAACATATATTATTATATATTCGTATATACACTTGAAAAGAGTGTCGAAGAACGTTCATGCATTTGAACCTGAGAGTCGGCGGCATAAAAAGAAGCTCTCACCTGTGATACTAGTCTACTAACCGTGGGCGTTCCCCTCCCTCTGATCGTCCCACACGGTTGCACTCGCTGATAAATGAAGGCCTAGTCTAGTTTTTGGCCGCCTCCTTGATGGATGGCCGACGGTCCGTGACCTCACGTCGTAGACTCAGCGGCGGCGACCCTTGCGCTCATATTCTTCCTCTCTCGTCTTCACATCTTCCTTTTATTTCTAATTTCGGTTTCCTATGAGTATTTTATGTTTGCCTGCAGCCTTTTGAGTTGTCTTTTTCGCGGAATGGTTCTCTGGAGGCCCAGGGCGAAGTGCGTAAAGTCCCTTTATCAAACTGTCATGGCAGCTGAAGAGCTTTAGTAGGTGTATGGTCCTCCATCCAGGCTCAATCTCATGAATGATGACACTTCATGAACTATGACAAACCAAATTCCCGAGTCTTCCCTGCATGTTATTCAGTAAAGTATGGCCGGTTGATCAGTTTCTATATAAAATATATATATCATCTTGGGTTGCGAGCATGATTGCGGTCACCGATAACTCGTTATCCTTATTGTGCGTAACTTTTATAAACGTATACTCACAGCTTTAATCGATCATGTACGAGTATTAGATAACGCATGTTTGATAAGTATGTTTTCGTTTTGAAAGTGCATTTCGATTTTTTTTTGCTGTTGCCTTGCGGTGCTGATGCTATTTTGACTTTTTTCTCACTATGAATTTGAATATTTTCTCTTACTATAGTTAGCCATTCTTTTCATGTTATAGTTACCTATTATATAACATTTTTGTACTTCCGCAGCAACATTACAAATTTGCGATGCCTTCTCTACGCTTACTTGACACATCATAATTCGTGTGCCCTTGCGGATTTGCAGGCGAAACTCGTGACGTTTGGCCGGAAACACGGAGCTTGCTCCTTCAAGGGTTCAAAGAGTTCGAAGTCAAGGATCTGTTTTGAATTGTCCGCAGACTTTGGGCCTCCTGGGTCACGCTGTGCAGTTAGATGCCATTCAATTACACGGACGACATCCGCAGTTTTTATTTAATTGATATCGATAATTTACGACACTGATGGCCTTCGGATGGATTGGACGCCTTGGCGTCGTCTTCGCAGACTTTGCTTTAAAACTCTTTATGATGATAAGCGCAAACTATTTGAAGTAATTGGAGCAACAATATTTGCTTCATTAAAGGTGCATTTTTTTCTAATTATTTTTAATCACTGCAAACAGTTTATGAATTGGACAAATGGTACTTGGGAACAAACTCGAATGTTTTGCTCATTGTTAGAGAATAGTTGAATACATTTTATTTTTGAGAACTTCAGTTTAATTGTAACTAGCATGTCATCGGAATTCAAGTTTAACAAGTGGTAAATGTGTGTTACTTTATCGCAGTATTTTTGGTATCAGTGTTTTTAAAATTTTTAAAATCGGGGAATCTTCTTATGATTTTTTTAGGCATGACCGCAGCCCTATAATACAATGGCAGGTGCCATGAAAGAGGCGCACAGGCTGCTGCGCCACACTGGTAATGATTGACCTGAGCCTCTACTAAGGACCGGTAATTATTCAATCAGCGGGTGTCACTGGCGTCAGGGAAACCATTGATCATTTTTTTGCCGGATTTTTCACGTCGTTTTTATTTTGTGTGTGTATTGTGTGGATTGCTTGCTTTGTGATTAACGTATCGCGCATCCTACTAGCCTACTAGGCTTGTCGCGTGGCGTGCTTTGTTGGTTTAAAACTTTGAATCATTGTTGCTTTTTTTTATTTATCCTTTGGATGGATTTCAAGCGGACATGCGTCACAAGATACTGATTTCCCCTACAAAATATGAAGATGAGATTAGGCGAATTGTTACTATTGTCTAATATACCTGATTATATTTCGAAAACTTCATTGATTTCAAATTGAAAAACGTGTGTATTTTCCGCAGCACATTTTCCTTAGTGCAATTTTATCAATAAGCGTGAACATTGATTTTTTGGTTTAATTTACTCTCTTTGTAATTGTCTAATGATGAAGAAATTAAGAAAATATTCCCTATCGTCATAGCCCGCGTGAAATCACATTGAAATGCCGCACAATGAAAGAACGTTCCCATAAAGCTGGGCAGTGGGCAGTGCAAGCACGAGGCATCAGTGATAGACTGAAGATATCCCTCATTAATTTTCTAATTATTTCCATGATTGATTCATGAAGAGCTCCAGCAACCCGGTGAGGATCCTGGTGCTTATGATGCTCCGCCCTGTCGTTACAA